TTGTAAATGGCTGCTCAATCATATAGTATTAATAGCTCCTTAACCTTACACCTCTTATTACACCATGTCTCTGGTTAGACAAGCCTGCTGAGAATGTCTCCAACCATTTATTTAAACGTCAGCTTCAGAATGTTGAAATAACTAACACCAGGTTATTGGAAAGATTGGACATGCAGCCTCATCATCATCATCTTAGCAAACCTGAAACATTGAGTCATTCATGGCTTGTCTGTGAAAGGTGTATGCCTGCAGATGCCTGCAGCACAGAGACTGCTCTACACAGACTCTTCAAAGCAGCATTAGTGCACAGCTTGGACTGCTTTCATGTCGTGTGCTTACACTGCAGAGTAGTGAGCACACTGGAAAATTTTATTTCATGAGAGGACTTTCATAGACACAGTTCTTGTAAATGAATGAGCACTGAAATTATACAAAAAATTTTGAAACTCCTCAAGTTGCTTGTCCCTTCTATTATCTTCCAGCCAATGGTACACATTTATGTCCAGGAAACATAATATTAATATTAGTGATTTGTGGCTGAATTCTGGTGAGAAAATAAAATAAAAATAATAATAATAGTAAAGATGAATCTGTAATGTTATTTCAAGGATGTTAGTACTGTTTTCATTATTACCCTCAGAGATACAGCTGTTACTGTTAATGGTTCCTTTATTGGTCTATGTTTCTCTTTTGAGAGAGGACTTAGTTAATATATGTTCAAAATTTTTGTTCAACTTCTCTGATAAAGTTGTATTCAGGACTCTGAGTTTGTGCAGCTGGAGTTCTGAAAGAAGCTAGTGACAGAATACCAGAACCAACATGCCTCTGAGATATACAGACTATCTGGATGACAAACAGAGTAGAAAATACATTATTTGCAGTTAATCAAAATGATGAGTTTCTCAACAATTGATGAAAGGTACCTATCTTGCAATGATGAAGTCTTTCCTTTCTCTTTTGATTATTGTGTGTTGTGTTAATAGTAGTTCATTGCTTGTATTCTATAGAACAGGGCCAATGTATTTGTGCTTAATGATATTAACAGAGACTGCAGCTTCAGAGTGGTGAAATAAAATATACTCCAAATACATAAATTCTTCAAATTAATCATAATGAAGGGAAAAAAAATAAGTAGTCTCATTCAATAATGAGTGAAAAAAATCTTATATATGGCACTGCTGTTTATGTCCCCTCAGCATTGAGAAAACATCCTTGAAGGTCTCATAAAATGGCTCTCACATTAAATAGTTCAGATTCTGTTTTTTCAAATTTGCTAATCATCTTTGCATTGGAAAATATATTACAGGAAGACAAAAAGTGCAACTAAATTAAACAATTTTATGGTAACAAACCAATTACCACATGCTAGTACAGACATATATTCCTTCTTTTTTTTTTTTTTTTTTTTTTTTTTTCCCTTTCTGGAAAACATCTGAGAAACCATGTTTCTCTCTATCACTGCAGCACTGCAGAAGCAGAGGATAAATCTAGTCAATAAATGCTTTCTTCATAGACATGCTAGTATAGTATATTCAAATAAAGGATGTTCCGACTCCCTTTAACAATGATTTTACTTTTCAATGAGGTACAACTTCTTTAATGACAGAGTAAGAATAGAAGTTCTCATGTCTAAGAAATTGTAAACCTCTTAACAGATTATGAGAGTAGATGCATGAATTATCTAAGACTATATATGACACAGGATGCCAGGGAACTTATCATGACTAATTTGATTTTTATTTACCTTGAAAACCATCCACACATTTATGTAATTCAACCTGTTTATATGGGATCAGTATCAATCTCATTATTTCTTATTTTTTAAACTCTTCCAGTGGCCTCTCTTATTTTTGCCACACTTGCACATCTGTGAGCTAAGATAACAGCACAGAAAAATGTCAATCTCATTAGTTAACAGTATGACAAATGCAAGACACAGTGTTACCTGAGCTTTCAGCCACAAGGACAGTTGTATCATAATAGCAATAAATGTAATCAACTTCTGGTTACTTTAAATTTTCATACTCTGGTGTGAGCATTAAAAAAAAAAAAAAAAGTGGGACTTATTGAAAAGTATATAATTGTTCATATAAAACGTATGGAAGACAACTCTCACCAAAAAGCTGAAATTGGACACTTCTCAAATTTTACTTCCAGAGTCTGCTTGTGAATATATTTGATATAAGGCAGAAGAAAACAACAACAACAACAACAAAACCACTAATCCAATAATTCCTGTTTCTTGCGTGCTTAAGTTTCAGCCTGAACACAGATGTCAATTTTGATATTTAGGACAGGAGAAAGAAGGGGAAAGGATTTTAGGTAATTGCTTGCATCTCTACATGGGAGTGAAATTTAGTGTCTACTGAACACACCACCATTGCTTATATGAAAGGTATGTACCTGCTTAAAATTCTGTCTAAATGTAGAACTTTCTAAAGTCAAAGACATATACAGCTTTTAAAATTGCTTATTTCTCTTTATGTGATTGCTTTTTAATACCAGGAAATGGTTGAAGGATTTGTGATCAAAATATAAGTCTATGTGAATCGAATCTATTCAGCTTTTGAAAGTCAAAAGAAGATTTACTATTTAAATTTTTAGATTAGCTCAGAATGTATAAATCCTTTTCTACTTCTATATATCAACAGAAAGTATTACTATTCACTGCAATGTAATGCACTGACTTCATCTTCAAATAACACAGGAAAAAGAAATCAAGTTCCAACACAAGTGTACCTAACCTAGGATTTGGTTTCAACTTTTAAATTCTCAAATTGAGTAGATACCAAAGAATAACATTCACAGGGAAAAATCACTTTGATGTTCTGGAAACATTTCATACACTTACAGAAAACTAACTCATTCTATTTAGTAGACAAATAATAGATTGAAAATACTTACATAAAATTCTGTTTGCAAAGGCTCTGTTTGCACAGAGCTGTTTTGATCTAGGAAACATCTAGTCAAGAGTAATTGCACAATGATAATGTGCAATTAAATTAACCAAGCACAACAATTACTGCAAATGAAACATAGGCAACACAGTTTTTGAATGATACAAGATTTACAAGAATACAGGGTGCAGGAGACAGTGCAGTGGCCAACAAGTTTTAGTACATTCCTATTTTACACTGAATTTGGAATTTAGCTGTATAAGAAAATTCTTTTTTTTTTTTTTTTCTCCTGGCAAAATCTTTACTTTTATTCACTTGTTATTTATTATGAGTAGTAGTATATATTACTCCTCAAGAAGGAAATTTTAAAGGTACAGGAGCAGGCCATGCCTGTGTCCCATAAGGCGAGCCAGAGAGGAGGAAGACTGGCATGGATGAACCGGAAACATTTATTGAGACTCCGGGAGAAAAAGATAATCTACATCTGCTAGAAGAAAGGACAGGCTACTTGGGGCAACTACAAGGAAGTTACTAAGATATGCAGAGAGAAAGTTAGAAAGGCAAAAGCCCATTTTGGAATCAGATTGGCCACCGCAGTAAAAGAGAACAAGAAATCCTTTTACAAATTTATTAACATAAGATAGTTAAGATAGGATAAGAATAAGGCTGAGGTTCTCAATGCCTTCTTTACATCTGTCTTTAATAGTCAGATCAGTTATCCTCAGGGTACTTTACTCCCTCATCTGGACATCCCCTATGATTCAGGTAGAGAATCCCTCCCTGTAATCCAGGAAGAGACAGTTAGAGACCTGCTCCTCTATCTGGATTGTCACAAGTCCATGGAACCAGATGAGTTCCACCCTAGGGTGCTGAGGGAGCTGGCAGAGGTAATTGCTAAACCACTTTCCACCATCTATCAGCATTCCTGGTTATCTGGAGAGGTCCCAGGGGACTGGAGGTTTGCCGATGTGACTCCCATCTACAATAAGGGCCGTAAGGAGGACATGGGGAACTACAGGCCTGTCAGCCTGACCTTGGTTCCAGGGGACATTATGGAGCAAATCATATACAAGTATTTTCATAAAGTACACATGCTAACTGCTAACATTTGGGTGCTTGATCTTAATATTTCATTCACAGTTTCATTTCCCTGATGTCTGATTGTTCTGTACATGGTTTTCATTCAACTATCATTTTTTAATGATTATTTAAATATTTTAAGCTTACGCACATATATACATATCTGCACACATAGATACTTATATATACACATGCATCACATATTTAAACATCATGTATATAGGATCCTAAAATATTTTACCTATAATAAACAAGATCAAAAAAACAACAACACAGCACACAAAAAAACCAACACCCATACAACAAAGCAGTCTGAATGACTTGAAGTAAATTTTTTTCCTCAGTTAAGACAACGAAGTTGTGTTTTGTTGTCTATGTTAATATTTAGTTCATATTTTGTTGGTAAACCAGTTACACCTTACAGGTGAGATTAAAGACTTACATCCTTGTCTAGCATGAAACATACAAGGAATATTAATTTTATCATAAATTAGGAAAAACATTGAGCTAATGGATAATGCAATGTGGGGAGATGTACTCCTCAGACTCCCTACTCTTATTTATCTTTTTGTGAGAGAATGAAGGCCTGAGTGAGGTGAGACAATATTTATTTTTGTGAGAGAAAATAAACTGAACATATTCCTTCTTACATGGTTTTGTTATGGAACAGATTTTCTATGAGGAGCATATGCTTATTTTAAATAATGCACTGTCAAATTAATTATATGCTACTTGGTTTATAACATAATGAACTGAGTTTAGGAAGGTGATAAAGCAATACCATCTGAGCACAACATTCTCCACAAGAGTAATATTTATGAGTTTGATTTGCTTGGCTTGCCTCACATCATGTCCCCTTGACTTGAATGAGAGATATGAAAAGACTGTAAGAGTGACAACCCTAACAACAACAGCAACAGCAACAACAACAATAATAAAATGAAGATATTGGAAAGGAAAACAAAATTCCTTTCCAAAAAAAAAAAAAAAAAAAAAAAAGAATAAAAAAGGAAAATTGTTTACCTGATGTCAGGTTGTGATGTCGTGGAACTTCTTTTACTGGTGGAACACCTAAAGAATGAAACATTGATAAATTAATCTTCTCTTTCAGAAACCTTATGTCTAGTAACCCCTTAGAAGCAAATCGCTTCTAGAGACTAGTTCAATAAATGTGCACCAGTACACAACTGTTGTCCTTTGAAGTTCCAGGACTTCAGTATACAATATTTATATACAAGTGGTATAAGCAAGTGGCATTCACAAGTATCAACATTCATAGCATGTAGTTGCTTTTGAGGACTTACTTGTGCATGTCTGGCTTCAAATCTGCACTTCTGTGAGAAACTCAGTCTTTAACCAATGTAGAGAGGTTTTTGTCTTAGACATTTTTGTCTTAGACCATTAACATACCAGTCTGATATTACTACTGATTATCTTCAGAGGTGTAGCAGAAACCATTTCTTTGCATATTACTGTACAATCAAGGCAGTGCTTTGTCCAACAGGTTAGTAGGAATATAGCTGACCCTGAAGTCACCATACAGTGTCTCTTATTATCAATGTAGTTATTCTACAGTATGAAGCTCATGATCTAAAGCATCACATAAACTATGGAAATGAACTTTGTACCACCTCACCAAGGAGCATTGTGACAGACCAGGTGGGGACTTGTAACCCATTCAACAGTGGACCTTGTGGTGGAGGATCCTGCTAACGATGTGCCAGATTTGGGGTCATAGGTGGGGTAGCACTGCAGCTAGATTGGATGTGCAGCTGTAATCCTTGACACCAACAGTCGGAGCTATCAGACATTAAATGACTGGGGATTTATGCATAATTTCACCATTTTGGTGTACTTGTATATATTTAGAAATGCTAACAAAGCCACTCTTTCCGATCCCATAAAAAAGCTAATGTTTGCTGAGATTTTCATCGTTGTATTACCTTTGTGTTTTTCTTCTTTCAGATGTTTCTTCTCAGTTGTTTTTTCTATCAAGAAAAAATAAAGGTAATATGGGTCAAGGTTGGTAAATTGACTGAATTCTTAATAGATCATTACCTAGGCTTTTCAAGTAAAATACTTTGAAAATTAACGCAGATCTTTTAGGAGTTATTTCATATAGAAATACATATAAAATTGTAGTCTGAAACTATTTTTATTGTGATCTTCTACATATATATGCACACACAGAGTAACTGCCTACCTTCTTTGTCCTTAGAAGTCTTTGTTTTTTTCAGGGCTAGAAAGATTTGCAAGGAAACAACATTAAGTGACAGTTAGCAGAAATATGAGTTTACGACAATAAGCACATTGCACAAAGCCAATCTTCCCGGATTTTCCTGGAATAATAACTGAGCTAAATGTGTCTCATGGCATGTATACAATATATCTTTGTTACAATTGTGGCTGCTACCCCAGTGGCAGTAGCAGTAGCAGTTCTGGGCTTTCTGTACAGTCTTTGGAAACAGACCAAATATTGCTGTTTGTAGAGAAGTTTGGAAACTCCTGATAGAGACTTTGGAATTCTGAAATTCCTTAACTTGTGCAAAAACTGCCAAACTGTTCATTGCCAAAATGCACCACAGAAGGATCCCATTGCCTACTGCCTGCTCTTTAGTCTATTTCCCTCAGTAAACTCAATTGTCTGAAACAAACAACAGGATGTGGAGGTAGATGGACTAGAACTACCAGATATGACCATTCTGAAGCCCTGCAGCAATAGATTCTGATTTGTGTGATTTCTTTACCTTTTCTCAAACTGTACCTTCACTTAGAACTTTTTTTTTCTTCTTTTTGTCATCCTTATCCTCAGCCCCCAAACACAGGTGTTTGGTCGGTGACTCCATTCAACGAGGCAGATTGAAATTAAGTAAGGTGTATTGCTGCAGGCGCCTGAGCCTATTTCAGTATTCCCTACTGACCATAGCAGAAAACTGGCAGGCTGCCTTCAAAACATTCATTTTCACTTCATATGATCCAAGTAGTTATAACAATGCTTTGTTCAATGTCTACTGGTGCCTGTGTTATCTGATTAACATTAGCTTGCCCGGTGCTGATCACTTGTGTCTAGCTCACCAAAAACATGCTACAGAAGATAAACAGTGAAACTAAGATAAAATAATCAGCTGATAAAAACAGTCTTTGACTGGCAGAGAGCTGAGCAACTGCAATACTCTTAGTTTACCTGCTCTGGTTTACATCGGCATAGTACATTGCTGATGAATGTTATGTGTTCTTCAGTACTGGTATGTTCATTAAATATTTCCACAAGACATAGCAGAGAATTTTGATATTTACCTGTTATTGGAATTTCACCTGTTGGCTCTTCATGAAAATAATCAGAAATGAAGATGAAGAGGGAAGGAAAAGAATATGAGGATTAGTATCATTTTTTTTTTTTTTGAAAGTAATCGTTTAAATAGATTTCCTCTTTCATCTGCTATTTTTCTGCAAGATATTAATTTGAAAATAAATATGCCTTAACAATGGGTCTGTACACAAGATTTCACAGTGAAAGCTGAGTCCTACTCTTTGAAGTACTATAATCCAGCATGTGATGGTTCCTGCAAACGCAAACACTTTGCCAATCAAAGCTTTCAGGCAAGTGAATATTTAAATAGAGTTATTTTTAAACATGCATTCAAGGTTATAGCTGTCTATACTCTTTTCCAAAAAATATATTTAGTTTAATTGTTACCTTTTTTTGCTTATCATCCACACTTCTCAGCCAAAGACTGACACTGACCTTGAATAGATGGCATTCACCTCTGTATAACTTTCTCCTGCACCATCAGTCTGCCTTGCCTTTTTAGAGTAAAAGCTCTTAAAAACTGGAAAAATTTTTGATTACATGTTTGCACAGTACCTAGTACAAAAGAAGCATATTCCTGTGCCATTATAATACCCATAGTAATTCATGACAATTGATCAACACAGTGGTATAGAAATGCTCTGGTATAAACTATCCATACTTTTTTTGAAATCAAAGGAATAAATTATACTGTGATATTGAATCCAAAAATTTTTTACCCCTCACTACTTTGTTAGTCCGTTTTATTTTAGAATGTTATTGTAAGGAAATACTGGCCTCACTAGCCAGGCAGAACATAGAGCTGGATAATAACTGAATATATTCACAAAATAATCCAGGGACTCCTTTGATTAAATTATATTGGTGTTCATTGCTGAGGTTTGGCTTCAGATTAATGTGAGGTTCTACAGCTGATGAGAACCCACACCAAGGAAAAATCTTTAAGTCAGTGCTTTTTCAACAGAAAGACTGAGCAATTAAGTATAGTTTTCACTAACAAACCCCAGGAAACTTTTACTCAGGGCTTGGTTCATAAGGAGACTCATAAATGTCAAGTGCTCAAGAAAAGCACAACAGGAATTCAGCAAAGGCTAGTTTTTCTGCTATTAAATGCTAACATGCTTAAGTCCTTTAATATTTATAGTTAATTTACAGTTATCCAGTCATGCCCACTACTGCTGAAAACTAATACATTGCAGCATCCTGAGTAGTAGATTAATACCTCTTCTCATTTTCAAAAGAAAAAAAAAAATAATTGCCTGAGTTACCAAAAGTGAGAAAGGCGTTCATGCTCTGACTCCCTAACTGAGTGGTTGCCTAACTCTGAGGGACCTGGAGAGGCTAAGTTTTATCTGCATCTTCTAATACTTACATTCAAATTATTACTGTCTACCTCCTGTAGATCCTATTTTAAGGATTGGTCACTGTCTTTACATGGCCTGGCCATGCATATATCCTAATTTGGGATTAATGATTCCCTTAGACAGCAAGGTACTAGAGGACTGATGACCTAAAATGTTAGTTTGACCCTCTGGTGTATACAGTATAGAGGACATTTTCTCCTCCCATCACTTCAAGAAGCTCCCACTTACTCTCATGTCTTTGGGAAACATCAGCCCCAATCATGAAATTTGTTACAGAACTAAATAGGAACAGAGTTTGGCCAATGCAGAGACTTTTATTAAAATATCAGCTTGCATGGTTTTTCTGTTGATTGCACTGTCATTTAAATTTTGGTATTCTTGAATAAGTAAGAAATGCCACTAGTTTTGTCCTCTGATCAAGGTAACTTCTCAGAATTTGAGAGTTTTTAGTGAGTGTACGGGGATTATATTATAAGTTTTATTAAAAATTCAAATCTGATATAGGATCAATTGCTGTCAAAGACTCTCACGTGTGATAAAACAGAAATAATGGAAATATGATCATTTACTAATTCACTCCATTCATTCATGCTGATTCACAAACTACTATAAAAATGTATTTGGTGTTAATGTGGGGACTATTCAGACTCAACCTTGTATTTCTGTTTATAGCTTTTCTCTCATTTAATGATACAAACTCTACCAATTTAAGCTCCATTTACTTCTACAATAAGATTTCACGGGGTATAATGATTGAATAAATTTGGCCCAGGATGAAAGTATGAATTTATTTTACAGTCCTACTTGACCGAAACTACAAAGTCAGTGAGTATTTTGTGTCCATGACAAAATGTGTTCATGCTGTGTTCACATAATAACTATCTTTACATTATTGCAAGCATAGTGTACACCTGGCTGAGAAATATATGAAGCAAAGCTAAACAACTTTAGAAACAAAGAAAGCAGTGGTCCAACTCTTCTTGAAGTGGAAAGAAAGTAGTTTAAAATAGATAGCAGTGATGCTTAAAATCTTGAACTAGATCTGTTCAAGGATGGTTAGTTCAGAATAGGCAGTATAAGTGGAATTACTTTTGTGTATGATTATGGGTCTGCTTGAAACATTTTTTTTCTTTTTCCTTCTCTCTCTCTTTTTTTCTAAAGGTACTGTTAACCTTTATAATCATTTCAAGCATCAGAATATAAGTTCAAGACTGTGGTACAAATATCCCTCTTCAAAGGTCAGGAGAAAATATCTTGGCTGTCCCTTATATGGACAATATGTCAGAGTATTATAGCTCTTGATATAAAAACATTGTGGACAGTGATTTGGGGTAAAATGACCCTTATTGCAGAAAGAATGAGGTATTAGCCACTTAAATCTTTGAAGATTCTCTAATAGAAAAGAGGGCCATCAGCGGGTCTCAGATAAATCAGTGCAGAAGACATATAACGTCAGTGAACAGATCCAGTGAACAAAAGACTGAACAAATATGAATAATGGAATCAAACAGAGGAAAAAATTACCTAACATATTGGCAAAAATTAAAACAAAGCAAACTAAAAACCACAACACCAGCAGCTTCATGGGAAATAATAGTTTTGCAATGGTGACTTGATAACTCAACACTACAGTTCAGGATTGCAGAAGATCCTTCAGTGAAGGCACATTTCAGATGCTTCATGTTCTCCCTTTCCTTTTGGAGCTGGGATTCAGAACAGCACTGTGTCTTCTGACAGGTGCTTAAGAGCAGGTATTCATCTTGTCTAACCTACAGTACCTAACCTGGGAGATTAATTTAGGAAGCTTAATGGAAGTAGCTTGCCTTGCCATGCAGTCAGCTTCTGACATGAAGCAGGAAGACGTGTGTGCCTTATGGGGCTTGATCTTAGTTTTGGGTACTCTTTATAGATTAGTTTGCAGCAGAATAACACATGATTTAGTCTTGATGTGCCAAGCACAAATCAAGAAATAAATCAAAGTTCCTCTCTTAAAGAGACTCTAACTAATTATCTATGAAGATCTATATTTCAACCTGTAAACAAATCAGAGTTAAATGTAAACACTGCCCTTCTGATTCTTGTCTGATCATGATTACTTGCTAAAATAAACATTGATCTCAGTCTTTAGCCATTCAAAAGTCTTACTGATCTTTACAAGGACATTATCCAATGATTTTATTATGCAAGAAATTCCTCCAAATACTTCTTTCTCCTCTTTCATTTTTAAAAATTAAATATAAAATGTATTAAAAAAAGGCCAAAATAAATAAATTCATTAAATAAGTCACTTCCAAACAGTAAAGTAAGTCCTGAAAATATTGTCTAAATCAGTTACACTGCATGCCATTTTGATATTTTTAATAAATGATATATTTACAAAAAGATAAGTGATGTGTCTACACTCATCTAAAATCAACAGAGCATCAATTATGCTACTAGCAGAATTTCCTTTACTTTTATAAACAGCAATTTTTTCAGAATTTGAGAGTTGCAGCTTCACAGCATTAAATTACAAATGTGCGTAGCTTTCAATGTGTTCAGCTGTTACTTAGCAGACTGAGTACAATCTAAGAGTACCTGTAGTATAAGCAAGGAAATACCATTATATAACATGACAAAATTACAAAAATGTGAATTGAGACAACATGCATCTGAAAAGCAGGTTTACGTTCCATAGACATGACATGACACATACTTGCAGTTGTTTTCAGTTTGACTGGGAAGAAAAAAGAGGAAAGAAAAATAGTAAGAACAGTGAAATATAGCTGAATGCTTCTATGGTGAAGAATGGCTTTATTTGTTTATTTATCTTTGTTTATTTACCATATATCAAAACATATTTAGTAATCTTAATATAATGAATAACAATCTAATGACATTATAACAGTAGGGATGTTTTTCTCAACACATCATAATAGTTGTACTAGAGTTAAGGATGAATAATACTAACAATAAAAATTTTAATTCTTTACTTATTTTCTTTCACCGAGAAGAGTGGAGATTCATTAAACCTATAACTGATTCACAGTGAAACTGAACTATGCTGCTTCCTATAACTGCAGCAATTTTGTTCTATCTTGTACAAGAGACACTGTATAGGAATTATGATTATGCAGAGACACTTATCATAAACTATAGATATTGCCGAGTTATGATCTGAATAGAGTATATATAACACCTTGCTAGGGAGGAGAATTAAACTGCTGCTGATCCTGAGAAATTGACTCATGCAGAAAGGCTGTGAAGTCCATATAAATACAGATACCAACAAAAAAATAGGAAAATGATTTCATTTAAAATAAACACCTTAGGATAATAGTTCAGATTATTCACTGGCATAACTTATTTAATGTCAATGGAGTTGCAGAAACAGAAACTTAACCTTTGAGATATATATATATATATTCAGAAGATGACAAAGGGCATTGTAAATATGTACTGTGCTACCTTAGCTACGGTATGATATGTCAAGGCAGTTTGATACTGCAAAATACCTCACAAGACCATGATTTTGTTCATTCTGACATTTGTCATATGCAATAGAATTTTACTGTTTGTTTAAATAACACTTTCAAATGTAATGTATGCATAAAATGCAGGAGTGCCTACCTGGTTTTGTAGTTGGAACATCCTTTTCATGCCTGATCGTTTCATGCTCTAGACAAAGGAAACATCATAACAAAATTACTATGTTTCTAAGCTTTGTTTTGCGTCTCTCTTTCTTTTTTTTTTTTACTTTTTTAAAATTATTATTATTTTATTTTTTTTTAACTAGGAAGGATTGCATATATATTTTAAATGAAATTTTACACTTTATACCAGGAATAAATGTTAATTTTCTGTTGATTCATGCAATTTGGAAAAAAAAAAAAAAAAAGGAAAAAAAAGACAAATGTTTAGTTACTAACAGATTATCCTCTAAGGGACCTGCATCAAAACAGTGAAACTCGGTAGTATCGCACAAAGCTTTACACATATGGCTGCAATTAATACTAGTAGGAGTTATATGAAAATATTAAAGAAGTCAGTTAATAGAGATTCTCCTCAATTTCTGAAATGTAATTTATAACCACCTTCCATCTATGTTATTTGAAAGGAGAGTACAAAGCAAACTCAGCAACCATTCATTTGACCTTTATGTTGAGTCAGACATACTTGAGCTGAATTCCCAAAGCCTTGAAGACATTCTATTTTGCATGGATAAATTGTATCTCGCTGTGGAAAATAAGAGAACTAGCACAGCTTTGCAGGCCATGTACCACTCCCTTCCCTCTGAGCCCCTCTCATGCTTTTCAATTTCATAATTATTACAGGAAATGTTGAGACTTTATTTTAGGTTATTGGGGTTATTGGAAATAGAAAAGATGAAAATCTTTGTTAAAAAAAAAAAAAAAGAGGTCTATCTAGCACTAGCACTATATAATTTATACCAAAGACACAACTGCTTAAAAGGAATTGAAAATAATAATACATTCAAACAAACAAACAAACAAACAAAACACCATCAGAACAGACTTCATAGCATAGTAGCAGCTATGCCAAATGCATGCAAATAGGGACCACAATACATTTTAGAACTGAAGAATCAATGGACAGCTATGCCAGCCTTGTTTACAGGCAATGTCCCCCGCAGCTAAAAGTCTGTGTATCAGTTATTTTTTGAGCAACGAGAAGGATGCAAAGGGGGTTATAACATGGAAAATGTTTACCATGTAAGTAGCCCCTGAAAAAAGGGCGATATGCCTCGACCCTTCTGCCATTTGATGAATAATTGAACATCTAGCAACAGCGATTTCAGGTGAAGATATATTCCAAGTAACACTGAGATGAAGACATAACAGTGAATTTCAAATAAGAAACAGTTTTTTGAGGTGTGAATTAAAACTTGCATCTTCGGAGAGTTATATTTTTTTCCCACATCTTTTTTTTTTTTTTTGGTGGTGGAACTGTATGGGGACTGAACTGAGTTCTATTTATTTATTTATTTATTTATTATTATTTTTCAGTTTATCTTTGTATGCTGAAGGTAGTTACATAAATATAGGAAGCTACAGACTGCGTGGTATGTTAATGTTTGGACTATTCTCATTCTTCTTGACTGAGAAAAATGCTAGATGCAGCTACATTAAAAATATTAATATGATTAATATATAGGGAAGGTCTAGGGAAGGTCTAGGGAAGTGATTGTCCCCCTGTACTTGGCTCTGGTGAGGCCGCACCTCAAGTACTGTGTTCAGTTTTGGGCCCCTTGCTACAAGAAGGACATCGAGGTGCTCAAAAGAGTCCAGAGAAGGGCGACGAAGCTGGTGAGGGGTCTGGAGAACAAATCCTGCAAGGAATGGCTGAGGGAGCTGGGTTTGCTCAGCCTGGAGAAGAGGAGGCTCAGGGGTGACCTTATCGCTCTCTATAAGTACATTAAAGGAGGCTGTAGAGAGGTGGGGGTTGGTCTATCCTCCCATGTGCCTAGTGACAGGATGAGGGGGAACAGGCTAAAGTTGCGCCAGGGGTGTTTTAGGTTGGATATTAGGAAGAATTTCTGTACTGAGAGGGTTGTTAGGCTTTGGAATGGGCTGCCCAGGGAAGTGGTGGAGACACCATCCCTGGAGGCCTTTAAAATATGTTTTGATGTTGAACTTAGCAATATGGTTTAGTGGAGGACTTGTTAGTGTTAGGTCAGAGGTTGGACTGGATGATCTTGAGGTCTCTTCCAACCTAGACAATTCTGTGATTAGGATTTTTTTTTTTTTTAAATTCAGATTGAGTATTCATTCAACACAACTAATTCTTAACAGTGATATTTTGAAAGCCTGTCACTCCTGTATTAAATCTTTGTTGAGTTTTGTGATAGGGGAACTGCAGAATAAGTTGACTCCTATACTGAAGCAATTGATTATGTTAAATAGCCTATCAAATAGCAGTGACAAGACAGTATGTTAAATGAAAATAATGTAAGGCATAGGGATACATACACTGTAGTTTTAAGCAAATACATTAAGTTAATATTAAGTCCATATATTAAGTTCAAAAAAAAAATCACACAGTTATGTTACAGGAATTTTTCTGATCAAGGTAGGTACCACATACTTGCTGGTTTTGCCTGGGCTACAGAAGACAAAAGAAGGTAAATTATAATATTTAGATACAAAAAATATATATATTTTTCATATTAAAATATTTTATTTAGTTCAGTTCTTATTTGTTATTAACTTCTGTCACTCATATAAATATATACAACATTCCAGACCCCCAAAGCAGATATTTCTTAACATGTTTAGACCTTTGCAAGTCCTCCTAACTATCTGCTCCTGTTGAAATAATGCAGTATCCTGTCATTTAACATAGTTATGTGTTTGTGTGTTCCAGAACCATTTCTCTCAAAAACTAAAAGTAAAACCTAGCTGACCCTAAAAATAATTGTGAATGTAGGTGTGAAAATCCAATAGATTCAAAGATGCAATTTCATCATTCTCCCAACTTGTTTGCCTATCACTACTGTCTAGCTTGTTAAAAATTCAAAAATTAATTTTACAGCAATTTCTCTATTACCAGAAACATAACTTATATGGTTTTGAACAAGTTTCTTGACTGCCTAGCAGTTTATGATTAGAAAAAAACTATCAAAACTATTTTTACTGGTTAAACAGTGCTGTAAAACATCACTTTATAGTAAATTGATAGATTATCATGTGAGTATCATGTGCTTATAGAAAGCAGTATAACCAACAAATTATATAAATATTCACAGTTAGAGACAGAATCATACTATTCTGTACTGCACCTATTCTGATACTGAAGAGAAGGAAAACAGGAAAATCACATACCAAATAAGAATAGAAATGAGACAGCAAATGGCACTATTCAGTTTAATACAAAACAGCATTTTATTTTATTTTATTGAAAATATTCATAATCACCAACACCCCCATCATCATCATATCAAATAAGAATCTGTTGATTTGGCATAATTGTCCAAGATTTGGCAATCTTTCATTCTATGTTTGGATAAAGGCTAATCCAAGTAGAAATCAAGAGGCTGATATCTAGAAAAAGCCTTCAAAAAATCTTTGTGTAACCTGTTGGTGATGATGAGACTGTTCTAATTCCTTGATGACTCTTCAGGGCTTCTATAACAGTCAACATTATTTGAACCATTATTATCACTAAATGTACAAGGTCCCAAAGACCTTGGGTTAGTTCCAAAAACACTTTCCCCATGAGAAAACCAGTTTAAGATCCATCCAAGTCCCTGATCAAGCTAGTGCTTCATCCTCCTCCACCACTGCCTACTTGTGCACTGTTCTCTGTGCTTTAAATTGAGTCACTGGAAAGTTCTGAGCTTAAACAAAAGAAAACAAAACAACCAACCAAAACAAAATCATCAATGGTCCCCAATACTGGGGATCATTTCAGAGATCTGAGTTACAGTTCCACACCATTTCATTGCCCCAGCTCTGGCACAGAGACTGGAACAAGCAACCAAGAGCTGAAACACCTTGACCTGGCTTTGTCACTGGAAAGACTGCATCTGCAGTTGCCAGTGTGCTGGATTTTCTCTAAGAACATGTTTTCAATCACATATTTCAGAATACCATAACAACTGATTGTAATGCAAATATACTACATCAGAAAAATCTGAACAGTGTTTAACACCCCCAGCCCCTCCCCCCCCCATAAATCAGGAAAGAATGACTTGTTCCTACCTGACTTCTCAGTGGGAGCTGTCTTTGGTTGTTTAATTTTCTCCTCTGTATTGTGAAAGCCACATTAAAATTAGAAATTCATGCTGTGTTAGAATAGGTAGATATAACTGGAAAAATATTTCTAAACATGATATTGCACGTATGATTCACTGTGACAAAATAAATACATGCCATTAGCATCACTACTCCATTGTAGCACTGTAAAACAGCATGTATACATTATGAGTTCTGGCTTCATGGTGAGATCATACACCATGGAAAAATAAATTACTGTGGCTAATGTCTCAACTACCCAAAAACAGTCACATACCTGGTTGTGTCTTTCAGATACGTACTCAGGTGGAAACTGTTTTTTTAATAATACAAGTATTATAACTTTGTGGACCTCACCCTGCTAACGTGTCTAAATTCAACAATTTAGTATTGTATGACCCTGAAAGCTCAGATATTGCCTAGCCACAAATATCTATGAATTTATACATTTATATAGTCTGAACACGAGAAAGGTTCCCCCGGGCACATGCTGACTTGCACAGGCACATCCACACAGGGCAGCATCGGTTTAAATGCCAGATCATGACACATGCTACTGGACTAGCTTACCTAGATAGACCCAGCTGGATATCTGTCACAAAGCCTTAGACAAGCTCTGAGCTTCTGCTAATATCATGAGAAAGGCTGTCCAAGTCCACATGCTGGTGAGCTGCCCCTGGCTGTGCTCAGCACAGTTCACATGGTCCAGAGGACATGGACTATGTCAGCCTCAGCCACCAGACCTGAGCTGCCTCTCCTCCAGGAAGGCTGGGGATGAAACTTGAGGCAGAGGCACAGGCAGGGCTTCACATCCTGGTGAGGCAGGGCCTTGTCTAAAGACCAGTAGCCCAGTCAGATGGGAATTACAACATATATATATATTTTTGGATCTCTACTCTGCCAGTCCGGTTGACTTGAACTTTCCCATTTTCACAATATTTTCATAGCTCGACTCCCATTTTGTCTTTTCCCATACCTGAATTCAAACTTATCTCCTAACCCCTACTTTTCCACATTCACACATATCACTGCTTTTAATTTTAAATACTGTTCAGACATATTCGGAAGGTGTTTCCTTTTCCTCTCACCGATGGAAGCAGTTTACAGCCACATGCCTCTGACACATTCCTTTCCCTCAAGACCTCTGCCAGGCATCAGATGACACAAACTGAGTGAAGGTCAGGTTAGGTAGGGATATCTTGTCTCCTGAAGCCATTCAACTAATCTGAGTGCTACTTGAGTAGAAATACTCCTGGGTAATACTGCCTGTGCATGCACAGAACTACTTGGCTGCTATATTTCCAGCCTGTCAGCCAGATGTTCTTAACTGAGATAACAGAGGGGAGGCACAGGGAAGGGGATGGTGGTTGGAAATATGTTGAGTGGCCTCAACATACATGACATTTCCTTTGAATTTAGCATGTAACTTCCAGTTCTTTTTTTTTTTTTTTTTCCTGAGGGCAGAGAGTAGGTTCATCTCTTTGTGCCCATTTCTTTTTAACTTAGCTCTCAGATTCCCAGAGGTATAAGAGGTATATGCTTGCCAAACAGAACTAAAAAGACATTTATCATAAGGCAATAGACAGAGAAACAGTCTTGTTGCTGCACAGTCTGTGTTTTTTCATCCGTAACATTGCAGCATGAAGCAAAGCAACAGTGCATGTGAACCCAAAAACATACAGCAATGATTTTAATTAATTAATTAATTAATTAATTTGCTTTGGTTTTGGTAGGAAATCGGTACCGCTGGGGGAAAAATGCAGAGAGGGATAAAGCTCCATTTATCTTTTCTATTCTTTGGAAACAAAATATAGCTCTGCATCACTATGCTTTACAGTTGTCATTTGGTAGGTGGTGATTTAATTTCTCTTCACTCATATTAAGTTAAGGGCTTTTTTTCTCCTTACTCAGCTATCATTATTGTCAACTTCTTATGAAAACAGTGAATTAAAAAATCTCATCTCTGTTTCATGGCTGTCTGTGAAAGTAGAAATGTTATAGCACAAGCAGCAGCTTGAAAATGCAACTTATTGAGATAAAGTACTCTCTTTCTGCTCTTAGACGAGCTTTAACATATTAGCAATGCATTTCACTAATTTAGATTGAGATATTAAGATTTCCATATACCAATAAACAACAACAACAACAAACTCCCAAGGACTGCTAACTTAAACATAGGCCCTGTAATATCCGCTGGATTAATGAGAAGTAAACTCGACAAGTTCATGTCTTCTCTTTCTTTCTTTTTCAACACCAAATAGGATATTCTTGCTTTTTCTAATTCTCATGAGAATTCACATCAATGCTTGTTTTGTACCTCTAGGAGTCAACCAAACAAGTCGTTGAGTGGATGGTAAGTCTGATCCATTTAAAAGTAAGGGAGGGAGTTTCTTTTCAAAACGAATTAATTTCTGAAAACAGAGTACCTTGAACAGACCTGAGGACTTGCATTCATCTGGAAATAAACACAATAATTCTCCGGTATTCTCTCACATACCTATTCTGCAGCTTAACTGTACAGTAACCATTGATCTACTGATTCCGCTGGAGAACACCCAGCGGCTGCAGCTTATCTTCTCCTGGCAAATCTACAGGAGGTGACTTTATAACTTTTTGTCTAAGTGCCTAGCAATTAGTTGTAACCAGAAGAAAGACTGAAGACATCAGCAAAACTTAAGAATGCTCTACAAGGGAACACACTTCACGAGGTCAGGAGATTTCACAAAATCATTTCAGTTCACTGAAATTTCCATACGGAGAAAAGCAATGAAAATGACAACAACAAAACATGTCTGATGTGAATGATACATAGCATTGTGACAAGACAAGAATACTTCATGTTTTCATTTTATAATATAGTTTTATACATCTTTTACTTTTTATATTTAGTATATTATGAGGAATACAGCAAATAAGTAATCAAATAAATAAATTGATGACCTCATAAAGCTACAAAAAATCCACTACCATTTTTTTTTTTGAATATTTCTGAAAAATTCAGATCTTGTTCTGATTTTAAATATGACCAAAATTTACAGTCCTGAAATATTTAATTGGAGAGAATTTCTTTCCTCTGCAGAGCACTAGTTTTGCAGCACTACTGGCATTAATATTCATTTTTGTTTTGATGTATTTAATTTAAATAGAGAAAGTATAAAGCTGTAAACATTACTCTGTGTATTTCAGGTAGTTTCAGAAGAATTACAACAGGAAAGAATCCTTTTGCTTTACTTGCAACCCCCCACCTCCAACCCCTTTTAAAATTTCTCTACAGGATCAATATATTTTCTGAGATTCTCTAGTTTCTCAGTCACATGATACTCCTAAATCTGATGGCAGGATGCATAGGAATAAAAGTTTGAAGCTGCTTTGATTCAAGGTGAAAAAGAAGGCTACTGCTTTGTACAGAATGAGGCTTTTGTAATTCAGTCTGCTAACTCAAGAGCACTCATTGGCACACAGCAGGCAGAAGCATTATTACCACATGTGCCTGCAGATTAATACTTCCAGTCATCAGCTGAAACTCAGAACAGCCACTGCTTCCCAAAGCAACTGCTAATCACCTGAGAAGAGGTCTTTTACACTAAAGGAAATTTAGCAAGTTTATTTATTTATTTATTTTTCTTCAAGCATTTAAATTCCAAGGGTTTTAGTCTGGAATATACTGTATAAGAGCAAACTCCTAATCAGCCTGAGGTACAGGCTTTGGGACAAGATGCTCTGATGTTTGCAAGTGTCTTGCAATAGAAATTTATTTTCATGCTAGTATCTGGATCAAAACAGGCTAATCATGCAGCTAGAAATGGTTTCATTGTGCTGGGAGGGTGAATAGTCGTGCCACCTGCCTAGGTGTCCCACAGATAGGCTGCTGCTGACCCCTGTCATGATACACAGAGCTGGACAGGGTGGCTTCCTCAACAGGGCATTCCTGTCCCAGCCAGACCACCCCGAACCTACCTGCTGGCTGAAGCACTCTGCTAGATTTTTTTTTTTTTTCAGCGTTGACTCCCAAACAGCAATACAACTTCACTAAATCAGCTGTTCTTCAGGAAACCTCAAATTGCCTATGAAATATTTAACTTGCAAGTAGTTTGTTTTTATGTTATAAAAACAAATGAGAAAACCAGTAAATGTGTAGAAGAAATTGATAATTAAAAAAATAAAAATCAGGAAAAAGGAACGATGCAAAATGAGTCTGTCTGCTTAACATTGAACATTGCTGTCAGTGCTGACAGCATTCAGTAAGACCACTCATGAGCTGTGTAAGCAGAGCATCAATAGATGAGCTTTCTATGAGGATATCCTCTTAGCCTTGTTTCTTTAGACCAGACCAAACTGCAGATCCCTTTCTTCCTCCTCCAGAAGGACGAAGGACAAAAACCCTGGTTCGAAGAGGGGCCCTGTCCATATCACTGCAGCCAATTATAGTTGGTTAGTTACAGTTTACCTGAATCCATACTCAACCCAAGATTTTTTTAATTGTCCAGCTCCTGTTCTTCTGAGACCCATAATCTAGAGACTGCCTTTGATCAGGCTATCATATACCCAGAGGGTATAGTAATTCCAACTTTGTGACGAGATTCACTTCATGTTACATCTGTTTACAGAAAAAGTTGAGATGGGATAATTCCAAATAATCTTCCTTGATTAACTAAAAGGCAGCACTGACCCCCTTTCCAAGCACTGAAAAATGGGATAACTGTTACTGACAATGCTTTTTAAGTCATACTGCACCAATGAGAGAGAGTCATAGACGCTATGAAAAACTGTCAAAGTCTAATCCTTTTAGATAAATTTCACCCTTATTTTTGTTCCTTTCCCAATTCGATTTTGAAAAACCCAATGACACAAAGCAAAAAGCTCAAGGAAGTCTCCCAATTTTGCAGACCAAACAAAACCTTATTGAACGGAGCCTGGAGTAACTGGAAATTATATTACCAAACATACCTGGCTTCATCTGAGGGATAGCTTTTTCATGTTTAATATGTGCAGGTTCTATAAATGAGAAGAACCATCATGTTAGAGGGCTTCTTAATTCTTAGATTTTAAAAATAATAATAAAAAAATCTTTATGTTTTTAAAAGATGACTTTGGGTTATGGATTAACATTAGACTTGATTTTTGTTAAATTAGTTTCTTGGGAAGATTTTAATTTTATGAGAAAATCTTTCTCAAAATGAAAATAACACCAAAGAAAAAGTGATTTTTGACTTTTTGTTTTGCCTAAGAATTGCAAAATTCCATTTTTAAAAAATAAATAACATATAAGTTTAAAAAATTTGAAATGCTGCTACTACTAGTTTTGATTGATACCACCTCTATTCTATATAAAACATTTATCCTTAATGCTTAATACAGGAATTATGGAAGATTTATTATTATTATTATTATTATTATTATTATTATTATTATTATTATTATTATTATTATTATAAGAAGTGTGGTAGTCTCATATAGAATGGAAAAAAAAAAAGTATAGTATATTGCATAAATAAAAAATAGCTTTTCATATTCCTCTGTTAGCCTGGGACCAATTTTTCTGGATTCCATTGATATATTGCAAAGCAACAAAAATTATAAATATTATATTGTATTACAATATAAACTGTATGTAATTTTGTGCTACCTAAAAATAGTGATATCAAAAAACAAACAAACAAACAAAAAAAACCACAACACAACAACAGTATGAGACAACAGACCAAGAGGTAAATCCCTCCATTGTATGGATCAGAGCCCGGGCCAAGGAATAGCACAGGCCCTTCCTGCTCCGTGTCCCCCCCAATTTTTTTTCCAGTGAGATGCTCTCATGGAAGCAGAAGGCACAGGTGGGTCTTACCCAAACCTGAACTGGAAAGGGGTTTCCACATACTTTGGGACTTGTGAAACACATGTAGATTGTAGCGTTACAATCACTGAAAGCCAGTTTCACAGATCAAAATCTCATCTGCTAATCTCATCAGCTGCTAAAACTCTGAAAATGTAAAAAAGTATCTTCCTCCTAAATGTCGAAGTAACAGTATTCTTAAATAACTTTTACTTACTGTGTTCATGAGTTTTTTCTGAAGTACCTAGAAATAAAAGAAAAAGGAGTGCTTTAATACTTGTATGACTAAAATGCAAGATTTAATGCATTTATTCATTACATTTATAGAGAGATAAAATAAACCTTCAGTGAACTCTGTATTAAAATCTCCAACAGTTAACATATTCTGTTTATACTACCTACCCCAGCCACTTAACAGGACACTTCAGGAACACAAACACCTTGAATTCCTCACTGAGCTGATATTTCATACAGCTACCTCTGACAGACTTCTACGTCTCCTCGGTGACCTGAGTTGCTTTCCCTAAATGGTGACCTAGTATATACTTGACCTTGGGCAATGATACTGCTAAGTGAGGATGCCCATTATGAGATAGCGCAAGTTCAGATGAATGAAGAAGTAACACCTAAGTTAAACTAAACCAGACCTCATAAGAGGCCCTGACAAGTGTGCTTGCCCCAGTAAGGTCAGTGAGCTTCAGATAGATAAGTTACATTTCAAAGATAAGAAAGAAATATCTTAAAGCATAATTAGGGAACATTCTGAACAAAAAGACTTAGCACCTTAGAACTACAGTTTTAAACTTTGTGTAATTTCATATATATTTTTGTTTTCCATGGACTGTAAGAGAAAAATTGTCATTTAAAGAGCGAGCTCAGGGAGCCATGCCCAGTGCTGTTACTGGTGCTCCAGAAGGAAGCCCAATGCCCAGTTCACCATCTGGATTTTTCTTTTTAAGTTTTGCAAGCAAGGTATTTTTCAGGACATGAAGACTCTGATACCCTTATATAACAGCCTGCCATGCCATGTAAGAGCAGTACCCCAGGAGACACAGAAGTGCAGGGGATGAGCTACCTTTGCAGGCCCAGACACGAGAGCCACATCTGCACTGAGCAGCGATGCACTGAGCTCCTCAGCTCATGCAGGACAGAAAGCAAAGAGCTGCTGTACAGGTGGGTTTATGTTTTGTTTGCTTCTCCCACAGGGGAAAGCTGCTCTTATTTTATACGCAGTCTCTGTTTAATCAGAGTTGTCACTGTGATGTAAGGAGACAACAGCTGGGCATGGCATACAGAACAAAGTTAAAATAATGGAACAGTTTTTGAGGTAGTAGAAAATAAAGATACAAATGAGCTGGATATGCTTGCTCATAAGTTTAGATAAATTCTGTCGTAGTGGAGTATCCATGAAACATGTCTGAAATTTGGAGAGGTGATTCTCTGTATCATGTCAAAAGACTTTGTGAGATATGCTTACCTAGCCACAGGTTCCAATTTACTAAAGGAAATTCATAGCAAATATATATAAAAAGAACTTCAGGAACTGATATAATGACGTATATAACTGTGTCATGTTACACTTTCAAAAACTACCTACAATGACAGAGGTAAGCCAGAGGAGGCCCAACCTTCTTTTCTTGGTGTAACATAGCAAATACAGATAAAAACAAATCACAGAATTTTCTACTATGTGTTTTTGATGAAAAATTAAGACCTAAAATTAAAAGGTTTTGCAGGATAAACCAGCTATGCTAAAACATAGCATATGCAAAAACATTTGTTTTGCTAAATATGCTATGATTTCAGTCAGTTCAACATGAATCCTATCCTTCTGCCATGTCATATTATCTCATCAAAGATATCATTTAAACAACTTATGAAGGAAACAAAAAACCCCAAAACAGAATCCCAAGAACTTTTTTTTTTTTTTCCAGTATCAAAATTATCTGTAAATTTAGCATTTAAAGATAAATGCTAAATGTCAATGACCTAGTCAGATTTCTAGAATGTTTATTTATATATTATGTGGTATTTAACTTAAAGAATGAGAAATGAAAGGCTGTGTTCTGCTGCTCCCACTCTTCTCATGTATTATCTTGCACTGAAAGTGAAGCAGTTCTATTCAAATATTGTGCTTAAATGTTTCTTTCTACGGTGCCTAGATAAACTGTAAAATGCCATACTACAAAATGTGTGGATGTTGAAAATTTCCATAATTTCAGAAAGTGAAAATACAAATTAAAGAAACAACTACCAAGCACTGTTGAACATGAAGATGCCATTTCCACCTTAGGAAAAGGGCTGAGATCATGGGAGGTCATGAGGCTCTGCTATGTGACTGTTTTTGTCCTGTACTCTTCCCTAGGTGCTCAGTGCTTTGGTTTTGGTGAACTCTTGTTATAACTTCAAACAATTGTTTTGATGTTATTAATTAAGAGCACTACTTGTTGCCTTGATAACTTCTTGGTTTTCATAATGTTAGAAAAATTGGCCCTAAGTAAATACTGTATCTTCATTTGTTTAACACTTAAACCATATTAGAGGAGAAAAATGTTCAGATATGGATCTAATGAAAACAGATGGAGTTTTGATGAAATACTTGAAGCTGTATGAGATCTGAGCGTGATCAATGGAATTATCAGCAAACCTCAGCAAAAACATTTTTGTAATTCCTTTTGTGTCATTCTAAATTAATCTTAGTGACTTAGGTTTGGTGGTTATCTTGCTGTTTTTCACATTTACTTCAAGTTTTCTTTGACTCTTGCCTGCTATTCTGAATGCCAGAAGGGTATTAATTATGTATGGTGTGTTTCTGTAAATTAACTTCAGATATGAGTTCAGAATAGAAATTCTCTGTTTTATTGAACCACAAATCAGTAAGGCTAAAGGCAGAACATGCTTTTTGGTTATAACTTGTCTATTTTCCATCTGGATAACAGTCATTTGATGTTCAGACAACAAATATATTTGTAAGTGTGCATGAAGTGAAAGCAAGATTAAGAACTATTTCTTTTAGTGAAAAATAACAAAATAATAATACATTATGTAGCTGGCGAAATTATCTTTTATCATGTAGTTATACTATAAATAAGAAATTTATTCTCCACTAGACTAAATTAGAGATTGGTTCCCCAAAGATGGAAGAGAGCACAAGGACTCTTTAATGGGATATGGACTGGGCATTAGATTAATACAGTCATGACATTAATCTATAAAAACATTACAGGCCAAATGACAACACAAGTCTTTCAATGGAATTCTCAAGATTTGTGCCTATATCTTCACAGTTATACATTGTGAAAAAGGATGTGATTTTGGTTCTCTTACATGGGCTAGATAAAACTATTCTTCCGTAAAATCAACTATAGACAACTTAACAAATGTTAACAAACTTCTCTTAGACAATCTAACAGATATTCTTCTTTCAAAGTTCATTGGGGATGCTGTGGTCTTCAAGAACTTAAGATGCTACATCATTCTGCCAATCATGAATGCACTTTTAATTTGAGGTTGAAGGAAATATATATATATTTTTTTTCTAGTAAAGTGCAAGGATTTTCGGACTGTGGGACAACTAGTAAAATGACAAGAGAATAAAATATATTCTTTATATTTGGCAAGTTCAGAAGGTCTCAGATGATAAAAACTTTGGAAAACAATAAAAATATCATGCAAAGGGATTCATCAGGGTGGACCACTGTTCAAGAGCAGTGGGGGCCTTTGTAAAGTACTTGACTCCCTACTCTTTGTCATTTATGGGAGCAATCAAATGTTCATGCAAGATTTCTAGATCAGCAGGCCTGATCTGCCATATCTCCACGTCTCCTTCTCAAGTCCTGCTGGCTGGTTAAGCAGCTGGCATACTGTGCAGAAAAAAATAGCCCAGTGAATATATGTTGAAAAAAATGACTCTTCACAGAACAGGTTAGTTGCAGTAAGGTTCCTGTAAAGAATCTTGTGCTAGATTAGGACATTGCCTTGACAGTGTATGGCCAATAGCTACCTTAAGGAAGGGTCAGTGTAATGAAAGTATGAAGTGCATTTTTAGTGGTGGTGGTGGCATAAATAGAGGAAGCCAGTGTGTGATTATTCTAAACTGAAAGCTATGCAAGCCACAAGGCTTACAGAATCTCTTAATTTCATACTGAGTGCATTTTACATTTTTGCTTTATTTTAAATCTAGCATTCTCCAGGGTATCTGTCCAAGTTTCTAGACATTATGGAACTACCATCCCATATTAACAAAGAATTATGAAATACTAAGTGATTCGTTAATTTTATCTGTAAGGCTTGCAAGAAAGCAGAGAAATTGGACTTCCAGCAAGTGCCCTGTACTAGTGGGAGTGTTTGTCTTGGGCCTGTGCAGCACCACAGACTTCCTTGGACCACTGTTTCAGTATGACTTATGAGGATAGTGGTTACAATAAGGTAAATGGTTAAGGTAAGCCGTTCTAAAATGCCATGGTTTGCCAGTATATATTAACCCCTACTATTAGAGCTTGTAGGGTATTCATCTGAAACAGACTGATTTTTCTATTGCCGTCTTTCACTAAAAGCTGTCTGTTCTTCCAGTCCCTTCTGCCTTATTTCTTTTACCAGAGTAGTCTGTTCCAGGATATATGCCTTCATGAATTTGACAGGTTTGTGTCCTCACTGTTTGTTTCGTCATTTACCTTGGGGCTGCGTAGTGAAGAATGAGCTGACTATTGGTTTTGGGAGATTTTGCTGCTGTTGTCTAGAACAACTCGTTTTATTTTGTTTTTAAGACTTATTTTTAACTGGTAATCCAAGACTATTTTATATAACTGGGAAAAGCAAAAAGTAGTTCACAGAGAGGAAAAATTTAGCATGTGGTAAATATAATAGAAGTAGCAAAGAAATACAGACATTTGCAACATTTTAAAATGATTTTTAATGAGAGGAATTGCTTCAACTTGCATCTGAGATGCATGCCTGTAGGGAGCATCACTAATGATCCCAATCTTTCTCTGTTTCCCAGTTTGTCAGTTAAACAATAGAAATGCACTGGGAAATGTAAGTCTTGTTGAAACAGCAATCTCATATGATAGTTAATGTTAAAGTTAATGCCTTTAAAGTACTATAAGTCTTAAAATCCCAGGAGGTCAAATCTTCCATCGACGGAGCTGGAAATAATAAAATTTCAGTCAAATGTAGATGAAGTACATATGCTGTATTAATGCATTTCATCTTTAGGCACGTGTGGTGAAAGACCTGAAGAGCTTC